AGGGTGGCCTCGCGGTGAGGAGCGGGGAGTGAGGGGGGGGGGGGGGGGGGCATGTGCCCTGGGTCCTGCTTTAGGAGGGTGCCACTGGGCGTGTGATGAAGAACTTCCCCCTGGGAGGGGGGGCGCAACTCTGAGGCCTTTGCCCCAGATGACACTGGGAGTAGCATAGCCTGAGGTTTAACCTGTCAGATTGATTGCTCCCTTTCCATTTCCTAATCTCATTGAAAATCACTCTTTCACTTGCAATGTCTATGAGGAGCAGGGGCAAAACAAAAAAACCTGAACAACTGTGGTACAACATGGAATGTCTGAGTAGCTTCAGATAGCAGGAACAAAAAAAAAAAACATTCTTCAGTTGAATTACATGTGCTACAATGCCTAATCCAAGAGACTGTTAAGCAGTCATGGGATAGTAGCTATACTGTGTGGTTTCTGCTCTTCGTATGAGTGATCTGTTTGCAGCATTTTTAGTGAGATGGCAAATTAAGACAGAGAGGCTACAGAGAAGCAAATATCACCCATTAACAATAGGAAATCTGTCATATTTACATAACAAGACTAGTATCCATCCAATCATCAAGCAAGTTTTTCAAGCACTTTGTGTGACATCAGTCACATACAGTACTTCTCTCCTTCCCACTTCTAAATATTAATGGGCCAGATTACAGAAAGGCTGCCAACAAGCTGAAAACTCTCTGTGTAAGCTGCCTGAGGTGCTTAGTATTATTGTCCCCCTGAGGTATCTGAAATGGCCCAAAATAAATCACAAAATCAGGAGCACTTTAACATTGCGGTCACCAGAATGTTTATGGCAGATAGTCGGATATTTGAAAGTAAATAAACCAATTCAATTATCTCTTGCAACAAAGAGTATGTGCCCTAATTCATGAGTGAAAACAAGTACTTCGGAGTGCTTATTATACAAAGATTTGTCACTGGGAATGATGAAAGGTTAGAGATCTGCCTTGTTTGTCTGTTGGAACCATGTCTTTTATCTCCAACATGGCTGTCATTCTGAGTTAACCCTTCTATTTTACGACTGCAGCAAGCAATACCTCTTTCAAATATTAGCTTGCATATGGGTCACCCTGAGAACAGATTGATACGAGACTGCACGACACATTTTACAAACCTCCTTCCCCTTGCATAGTATCTAATTGCTGCAGACAGGCAAATGACAGAGGATGTGCAAATCAAGGATGCCAAATAACAGCCTGGCAATAGGCACAAAACAAGAATATGTAAAATATGCAGATGTTACAACTAGTACAGTTTTAAATATGTCTGTTCTAGATGTCTTTTCCATCTTAAAGTACATGCAATATCAGCAAACTTAAGCACATGTGCAAATATAAAAAAGTTAAATAGAAATTAAAGGAAGACCAGTCATTCTATGTTAAGGGGTGTCCTGGTTTATAATACATACACCCCCCAAAATTACAGAGCCAGACATCTCAAACTTGTACACTGTTTCAGGCTTTTGGACAAGTATCAGTGCACGATATTAAAACCTGGCTCTACAGAACAGATCCATGTCTTTTACCCACTATAGTCCAACAGTGCTATTAAAAAATGTGGAACAATCTGGACAGTAGTATTGATCATTCTACCATAATTAACGCACCAAGAGATGTAGTTCTTTAAATAAATGGAGAAGAGGTTAGGCCCGTTTGCATTTTGCCTGTATCCAACAGGACCTAACAAATGTAACATTTTTAGACAAATCTCAAATTCCAATAGTTAAAATCATATATTTGACTTACCGCCCCATGCGCTAGCACCTCCAGAGGCAGCTGCGGCACCCTGCGCAGAGGAGGTGAAATCTGGTTGCAGATCCAGGAGATCATTGGAGAGTTTAGCTGAACTGTAAAAAGAGAAACAAATACAAAACTATTTAGTCACAGAACATCAGAAGCATTTTCTTAAACAGCACACATTCTTATCAACACATTCCCGGATACAGTTTCTTTAACTGCGCACACACCGCTGTATTTTTAAAAAAAAAAAAAAAA